TTTGGTTTGGTGAATGCTTTCTATATTTGGTTTTTGGTTTGGTTTGGTTTGGTTTGGTGAATCTTTCTATATTTGGTTTTTGGTTTGGTGAATGCTTTCTATATTTGGTTTTTGGTATTTTGAATGCTTTCTATATTTGGTTTTAGGTTTGGTTTGGTTTGGTTTGGTTAATTAGTTTGGTTTGGTTTGTTTTTTCGTGGAAATGGCAAAGAGACTTGACCAAAATTCGAGCTTCCAACTTGTAAGTGAGTTTGCTTCTGTTCAAGCCATTGTATCTTGTAGAGAGGTTTAATTGGGATCATATCATTCCGCTTCGTTCCCAATTGCCCTCATCAAATTAAATTTGCATTCATGTATAGTTAACCCAAAAGGTAAAACTGATTGGCTCCCAATCAGTATAATTAATGACCAAACCCCGTACAAGGCAGATAGAAAATTCTTATGTAATTAATTTAATGTTCCTAGGATATGGAAAGGCTTCCATTCCTTGAATTTCCACCAATGATGTTTTCACTCCCCTTTTAGTGAGAGAATTCATTGTATTAATAAATACAAGAAAAAGGCATACATAATTAATGGATTCTTTATTGTGTATAATTAAAAGGGTATTTTACTATAAACAAAGCATGATAGATTCACTGGGGGAATAAAAGAAGCATGAGTCTTGATGAAAAAGGGAAAAAAAATCACCATAGATAAAAAAAATCATTATAATCAAGCCATATCCATACTATTCACGCTTATCATCGTCACTATACTTGTGACCAAATATAAATAAAACCATAATTTTCGCAAACCATTAAAAAATGAAGATGAAATAAGTAACACATTCTTCGGCCTAATTGGAACTACTTAGAACAAAAGCGGTTAAAATCTCCCCCAATGAAATTCATTTGCAATTTCATAGGTAGTCCCTACTTCCACTTCTATAATTTTGAGAAAACATTGCAATTTCATCAATAGTCCCCACTTGTGGGCCAATTTCAATTGCAAGCAAATTTGCACCCTTGCAATAGCTTCTCACATCATAGCAATTTAGAGATGCAATTGCACCTCCTTGCCACATCATCTTGCAAGTCACAAAAATTGCACCATTGGAGATGACCATTACTGCATCTCGTCACCTGTCTTAGGGAACTTAGCCATGGCAAATTCACAAAATACTGCATGCATAGAAAAACATTGGTCTGGACAATTCAAAAAAATGGGAGACTTTCCTAGTCAGATGATGTACTGGCTCCCCTCAGTACCTGACAGTTTTGAGTGCTGGAGAATTAAGGAAAAGACAAAAGACTGGAAAAAAAACCAACAAAGCCTTAGGAAACTTGTTAACAGAAGACATCCATTGTTGGCCCCTTTGCTGCTCCAACGCTCCACCCCGCCCTGCATCAATCAACTCTCATGTAAGCCGAGGACGTTTGCTTGAGGAGGCCTCAGGGGTCTCTTCATGCTCTGTATGCCGAAGGTCAATAAAAGTATTGGTCAATTCGGCTATACGGTATACCGGCAAATAAGCGCACTGGTCCTCCTTAACATAAACCCCCATATCCATCCCAACCCTTTCAAGAAAGGTGGTCACGAAAGTGGCATATGGAAAGGCAGTGAAGTTTTCCCAACCCTTTCATGCTCTGTATCCCAACCCTTTCAAGAAAGGTGGTCACAAGGATAAACAAGTCAAGTTTACGAATAATCGAATGACCACGGTACCTTGGCATGAAGCAGTTGACGATCATCCAGTGGAGGAATCGAAGAGGATCTGGGAGCAAAGAAGCCTGGATGCGCCCCTTCGTGAGTTTCGCCAGTTCAACTTCAAACTCAAAATCGTACAGCCGCCCAAGATCGCTTCTGCTCTCAATGGGGTGTCCTCCGGCGGGGAGATCAAGGATCTCAGCAAACTGATGAGGCTGGAAGCAGACTCTATGTCCCAGGAAGATCGACACGAGATGAGAATCACAGGGACCAGGAAGCTCTGCGGGCAGTAACTGGTGCTTCCTCGACTCCGGAGATCAAAGAACTTTTCCCAGCCAAGATTTTTTATTAACTTCTTCACTTCTTGAGGGAAAGGACTTAGGTGGATGAACTCGTACTCGGCCACAATTGCTGTTTTGCTTGTAAATGAAAGATAGTCACCAAGACTTGCGGTGGATCGGCAGTCTTCATTTGATAGAGATAGTATCCCCATTTCCGCAAACGATTTACCTTTGTTTGCCATGGAGTCTGGAGGAAGAAGGAACATGGGAAGGTGAAGATGGAGGAAAGAGAGAATGTAGGTGTAAGAAAAAGTGATCGTGGGGGTTGAGTCTGGAGACGTGAGTGTGATGGAGAAGGTTGAGTCTGGAATGTCAAGAGTTAGAAGATTTCAGAAGATATGTAATGATGATGGTAACTCGTGTAGGTTAAACTGGGGTAAGTAAAGCTAGTTAAACTAGGGTTGGCGCACGAATTGATACGGCAAGAGAAATGGAATGGGCTCGCACGTTCCAGGCCCACTTTTGAATATTGCATGGATCATGTACAAGCCCACGTGTGAATATTATTTAAAAACCTGCAAAAATCAATGATCAGACCCAGTCCAACTAGAATTCGTCCTAAACGCACCATTAATACATAAACACAAATTAATGAGACCTCTCCATCCTATTCGAATCAAATTATGTGTTCTTCATCTTCTTCCTCAATCCTCTGGGCGAGATGAATACTACATATCAGGAAACCTAAATTTCACCGAGAGATATAAGTTTCGAGAAAATGACAATAACGCTAAGACAAGACGACAAAGCACTAGCGACATGAACCCTAGGGTTAGCAAACCTCTTTCAAGGGTTCTTTTGAAAATGAAAAGTTTGATGAACACAATAATAGACATGGTCGCTGTAATCGTGTTAGAAAGAGATAGGCGAGGGGAAATAAAAGGGCGAAGAACAAACAAGACAAAATAAATTGGGAAATTCAATCTACGTCGAATGTGGATGCAAGTAATTGGGATTCAAAAAGATGATTAAGTTGGGGAGTTCAAATTGGATGGGAAGCTTCTCTTGGAACTGTGAAGGGGCGTCCCTCCAAGACGAGAGAGGGATCGTGTAATTGGTTAGGGAGACTGGAAATTGGTTAGGGCGGCAGTGGGTCTACCCAATTGGGTTATTTAATTTAATCGGACCAGTTAGTTGGACTAGGATGAAAACAAACATAACGCGGCAGGAGGCTTTTTGTAATTTGTTTAGTTATTTAGTGGCGCAGTTAGGTTTAACAAACGTGAGCCGTGGAGATTGAAAATGAATGGTTAAGATCGGCCAAGGTACCCGTACCCGGAATTTGCCATGGACACCGTAGAAGTCACCATATATATATATATATATATGGTGGTGTCTTCGGTGCACTCACTTTTTTGGGTGCATTCAGTGCACTCGCTTCATAACCGTCATTTTAAACATGCGATTATGTCAAAATGATGTCAATCATCACTTATGATATGATGAACAATAACGCACATGAATTTGCACAAAAACCATTGAAGATTTACTTTAATTTGAAGGATTTAGAGTTTAGAGATTTAGAGTTAGGCTTAGGGTTTACAATTTGGGGTTTAGGGATAGAACTCAAAATTGGAGGTCTAGGGCGCTAATTAGTTGTTATTATATATTATATCATCATATTACACTAATTCTACAAATTAAAATTCAAAATCGGACGCTTTAAAACTAGTTTTTGAGTTGGGTGTATTGAACACACTTTTTTTTTTTTTAGTGCACCGAAGTATATATATATATATAAAGCTTCATTAATTAGCTGGCCATATCACAGCATGCAGAGTTCCCAATTCCAGCAACACTGGAATCTGCTAGTTAGGCCACATGTTTCTGCTCAAGCTGTTGGCATCAATGCAGTCAAAATCTAGATTTTAAGTAAAATTGAAAACTGAGGTAGAATCGAAATCGTAGATTAAAATCGTAAAATCGTAAGATTTTAAAGTTCATATTAAAATAAATACTTAAAACACTAGATAGTAATAATAATGCATATCTTGAATAACAATCAACCACATAAAGCATAATTACTTCCCAAGATAAGTTTGTTTGCTAAACAAACACAACTAATCCATATATTTTTCTTGTACATAATAGAAACACACAAATAAGAAACCTGAAACATTATAGATATCACTGTCAATTAATTGTTAGGAGTAGAAAATCACATAAGATCGTTAGGATCAACATTAACATCACTTACACATCATTGTCATCATCATCATCCTCAACCTCACCCTCACTCTCATCGTTTTTATTTGTTTAAGGACTAATATCATTACTCTTATGATCACTTGAAGTACTTTCACCATTAACCATATTTCCTTGATTACCATCATCTGGAAAACATAACTCATTGATTGATGCATTCCCTTCTTAATTGATAAAAGGTAGGGTTAGTGGTGCTGAAGGATTGGGAGATGAACAAAAGCTTGCAATGTAATGGAGATTTGGATTATTGTGAGGGTGGTGGGAACAAACTACAAGCTAATTGGGAGGGTGGAAGATATCGTTGATGGAAGGAGTTGGGCGCCGACGTGCGAAAGAGGAAGATACGAGGAAGAGAATGAAAATAAATTAAGGGTTAACTATCAGGTTGGGGTTGTGTTGTTCATTATGTTGGGTTGGGGAAAGTAAATTTGACTCGGTTCATGGGCATAACCCAACTTGACCGGCCTAATTTTGATCCAATTGATATGAACCTTGAAATCGTACAAAATCGTAGAAATCGTAGATTTTATGGATTTTAGAGTTTTAAATCGGGATTTTATGGGATTTTAAGGTTCAAAGATTTTACAGTAAAATCAGGATCGGAACCCATAGGTAAGATCGTAAAATCGTAAGATTTTAAGATTAAAATCGGGATTTTGACTACATTGGTTGGCATGTCTGGTGGTGCTCATGCAACCAAAACCCACATCAAAGTGGAATCAGAAACATTGTCTCCCTCCATTACTACAAAGAAATCAAATAAACATTTCAAGAACCCATTAATTGATTGACTAATTAACAGCAACTCTCAGCTTGTAAAATGTGTCACTATCTTCCCTCTTCCAGAGTGACAGTGAGAGCATTGTTGGAGCAAGTCCCCGGTTTACTAGAAGAGGAACCCCTGCTTGAAGAGCCTCTCCTCACTACAAAAGCAGGCTGTTTAGGGTTCTGAAGCGAAGTCGTTTCGCTGCTTCCGAGCATGGAAAGTACATTGGACACTGTGGGACGGTCACCTGGGTCTTCCTGCACACATAGCAGGCCAATGTTTATGCACTTGATCACAGCCTCATTTGTTCTGTTGCAGCTTCTGTTTAGTGACTTGTCCAGCAGATGCAGTGCCTTGTCTTCTTTCCACAGATTCCATGCCTGATATATTGAGTAATAAAGAGAAAGAATCATTTTTGTTTTTAACTTGGCCTTGTCAATGGTAATTTACTATGTCTAAAAGGCTCAAAAAGAAGTTACTTACATGGCCTAATAGGCTCAAGGACTGTTCAGGCTGATAGAAACCAGTGTTCCTTTTCCCACTGATAATCTCCAGCACCACCACTCCAAAGCTGAAGACATCCGATTTGAACGAAAACAAACCATCCATTGCATATTCAGGAGCAATGTAGCCGCTGCAATCACCATATATACATAACCATCAAGCCAATAATTCCTCGCGGAAATGGAGTACACAGAAACTTTGCTCTCTTACTATGTGCCAACCACCCTGTTAGTATTTGCAGCAGTCTCTTTGCCACCAAAAATCCTAGCCAACCCAAAGTCAGAAATCTTAGGGTTCATCTCCTCATCCAAAAGAATGTTGCTGGTCTTCAGATCTCTGTGGATTATCCTTAATCTAGAGTCCTGGTGAAGGTAAAGAAGCCCTCTTGCTATCCCAAGTATAATGTTGTACCTTCTCTCCCAGTCCAAAACAGACCTCGGCTGTTTACCTACTAGTTTCATTAACAATATGGTAACTTTGGTGAATTGGATGGGGGAAACAGAAGGGAGAGGAAATGGTTTAAGGAGGACTGACCAAATATGAAGGAGTCCAGGCTTTTATTTGGCATGTATTCATAAAGCAGAATCTTTTCATCTCCTTCAACACAGTAGCCCAATAGCTTTACTAGGTTCCTGTGCTGAAGTTTTGCAATCAAGATAACCTCGTTTTTGAACTCAGTCAAGCCCTGACTTGAACATCTTGATAACCTCTTGACTGCTATTTCTTCTCCTCCTGGAAACTTGGCCTGATGGTGGAGTTCCATGGACATGGAATAGGTATCTGTCAGAAATTTTATTTCTTTCAGATGAATGAGATTTACTAACTTTGTTTTGTACCTTGTAAACAGGTCCAAATCCACCCTGCCCAAGCTTGTTTGCATTTGAGAAGTTATCTGTAGCTGTTAGTATGGCTTCCAGCTCAAAAAATGGGACTTCTATAGCTTTGGTATCTTCATCACCAAATCGAGCTGAGTCGATTATCTCCTTCGCAAACCTCTTGCTTCCATACAAATGAAGACCTCCTCTTTTTCCTGAAGCCATCCATCGAGTCAATTCTCCTTATAAAGGTTTCATTTACCTAAACAGAAATTGATTACTAATTGTTCATGGTTATGAATTTACCTTCTACCTTGGGTGGTAGCCTTCTTCTCTGCAGAAACAAGCAAATCACTATGCTTGCCAGCATAATCAATACAAAGAAACTTATGAATGATAATGTGATTATCAAAGCAACCGAAATCTTCCCCACGGGACCGTTTTCTGTTTGCTTCTTGTGGCCCCCTTCTGCAAGTCAGCAAAACAAATGTAAAGCAATGCAGTTTTCTTTTATCCTAGTCCAAAACGAAGCACTCATTCATACCTTGAGTACAGTTTAAGTTTAAGCCATCCCATACAAAGTTTGTTCCACAGAGGCATCTTTTCTTTCCATCTCTTGTCTCATTACAGCCTGAATTCGGCCAATCCTTGCAGTCAATGGAAGTAGAACAAGTTGGCTCAAGTGGTGGTTCCCAACCTATCTCCACTTCATCTGCACTTTTGAATGATCCCGCAGAACTCAAGTTCCCCATATCAGCATTGCACATTCTCATCACATGAAATGGAGATGAGTGGTTGAGCTTCAAAACCTTGCAACTCTCTGGATCGTCTGTTTGGATGACAAACCTGTGATCTTCTAGATCGATCCTCGTAACTCTGTAAGAACTTGCCCCTGCCTGAAACCTGACTTGTCCTGTGGTTATGTTGCAATGGAAGTTAGAGTACATTGGATCCCCACATTTCTCTCCTGTGCTAAGTGGATAAGGTATCATACTTGTGCCGCAAGGTTCACAGCTCCTTTCTTTAAACCACACGTCAGAAGCTGAAACACGAACATTCAAGTTGCGGCCACCATCATACTCCTCTTGTACATCGGTGAGATCCTGCAACCAAATCCTGCAGTTGGAACCAATTCCTACAGATTCGCCCTTTGGAACGATTCCCACTTCCTGATAGGAGTAGGCTTGACATTGACAATTGTCAAGGCACTCCATCTTACATTCCTTCTCATCTTCAGCCTTGAACTGAGAATCTGGACTCCCAACCTTCATCATCTCCAACTTCAAGAACACTTCGGTCGAACCATTCTTGCACAACTCCGTCTTCCTACTACACCCTCCTGAGTAATCTCCAGATTTCCAATACTCTAAAGAAACCGGCTGAAATCCTGGCAGGCACTTACAAGCAAATTCATTGTTTCCATTACAGCTACCGAAATTCCCACAGGCATTATACTTGCCACATTTAGCCCTCGGTTCTCCCCACACCATGGACCAAGTCTTGGCACTATTCACCATCAGATACTGAACCTGGCCTGAGAAGCTCATCACGAGCCTAGTATCGTTGTACAGTGTCATTGTGATACGTGGCACAGAATCGTTCCTAACATTCTCGAGTGTGAAGTTTGAGAGGAAGAATGATACCGTGGGGGGCAGGTCATTGGAGCTCCAATACCTCACTGATCTCTTCCACACAGCAAACCGGTTTTTCACCTCTTGATCGATTTGAAAGCTGAAGTTTCCAGTACCCGGGTCATCGTAGCTTCTCCATGAGGTTAGTGCCATGTCTTCACTCATCTTCATCCCTGGAAGGAATGTGTCAGTTGGGTTGTCAAAACTCTGCCACAGTACATTAACTCTCCCTGAGAACCCATCTTCATAGAAAACGAGGTTTCCTATATCGGTTAGCTTGAGTTTTCGGTATGGAGAAGACGAGGAGGAGGGTGTTTCGAGGTTTGTTGACCAGTGAGAGCTTCCATTTCTGTCCATTACGTTGAGATTGCCATCTTCTGAAATGGAAAGGACGCCATTGGTGTCAGGAAGTGGGTTGTCCCTATTGGCAACCCATACAACTGTGGGTGGATTGGAGTTGAAGTACCAAATCCCCAGATATCTTCTTGTTCCTTGTCTTACGCTTCCATTAGGAGTGAAGAAACCCAGCTGAAATTTCTCACCAAGGGAGACAAGAGTTTCTCCTTGGTTATCATGCAAGGAGATGTTTCTAGTAAGAGTGTCTGTGCAAGAGCAAGTTGACAGAAGTGAACACAAGAGAAGAAGTGCTGAGAAAAAGAAAGGAAGAGTTGGAGACATCACTTATTGGTGTGATTCTGAGAGGAGTGGAAGTAGTTAGGGAGGATCGTATCTCTTCTGAAGAGGAAGCCCAAAACAAAATTTGTCCTATCTGCAGAAAAGAAGAAACCTTTGTCTTCACGGTGTCTTTTTCCTGATCCCCTCAAAATTCTAGATTTGGTAATCGAGCAACATCTAATAGCGACAGTGGTCACTGATCAGTACAGGATTAAGGTTGAAAATGACTGTCACTAATGATGACACAAGTTGTCTCTTGTCTGTTGTTGTGGAATTGGTGATTTAAACAGAGCTGTTTTAGTGTTTTGTGTAAACATCATAGGCAGCATCCAATGGGAGAAAAGGCCAAAAGCACTAGTAATTACAGTCCAATTGAAGAAACAAGCCCGGAAAATCAAACCCTGAAGGAGTAATTAGTCTATAGTGAAAAGAAACTAACCAGCTATAAATGTAAGGGGATCTCTGCTTCATGTGTGTCGTTTTGGGTTTGAAGGTCGAGAATGCCATTGGTTGCAAGTAGTGGTTAAATTGTAAGTACGAAAGCCAACTCTGAATGATTTGAAGGTTGCCCAGGCACTAGAATATTATGTGGTTAATAAATTGGGTTATCGGGATCCGAACAGAAAACATCTATGTTACAAAATGATATGACTTCATACTAAGAAAGCAAAAAACAATTGATTTTAATAACTCAAATTGTTGAAAGAGATTCCATTACAAATCATATACCGCTTACTAAAATAGGATAGCTTGTCATAAAATAAGGAGAGGAACATGAATAAATTCTATGAAGTAGCTACAAGTCAGAGGAGATTATCACTAGTCTGCTACTGCCCCTAGATTAGCAACAAGATTAGCAAGGCAAATTAAGTAGAAAATGTCAAAGCTACTGCTGTTCATATCATGCTTTTACATCTTTACGTTGTCTATTGCACATTTCTTATTGCTTTTGGATGAAGAATAGTTCAAAGATAGACAGACAGACAGATAATGACGCGGGGCTCTATAGATTAAAAAGGTGATTAAGCGCGTACATATTACTGTGTTCTTTACTTATTATTTTATTTGGTGATGATGACCTTTGTGATGCATGGATTTTGATGCGGTTTTACTACTCCCGCAATCGATTGTTACCTTTTGACAATCAAGCAGCTTAAAATAGTCTTGAGTTTGTGATGAACTTTCAATTTCACTATACGTACCAAGTGCTGAAGCCTTGTTCCAGTACATATTTTAGACCATACAGAGCATATTTTCATGCCATACACAGCTTTCTTAAGCTTGTAGACGCTATCTTCCTACTCATCAACCATTTGTGATTGCTCCATATATACACTTCTCCAACTGGGTTCTTAAGAAGAGACTCCTTCAGACCAAACAGAAATACACAAGAGCCATTCCTTTTAAGCTTTGCTATAGATTGCAACTTGAACCCTATCCTATCTTCTTAGTCCCTGGAGGAACGTGAGTGAGCCTGCCAAGTATTGATTTCCTCAATGGATTGCAACTCAAACTTCTTAACCCTCCTCCTTTTTTTCTCTCTTTTTGATGCCTCTCCAAAACACTGATCTCCTACTTAACCTCCAGAACATAGCAGTCAAACCAAGTAAAGGAAGACAAAGTGCACCTGTTGAATCACTTTCTTGTTCACTAGTGATACTAGACGTGTGCAAATCACACCATCTCCATTCTCCGACAAGCAGAAAGAACTGGGATCACTAATGAAGTTGGTTCGACTGATTTGAGAACTTCTAGGTTTTCTAGCTCAGATGCTATTTGAGCTTTTCTATCTAAGTCCAGTATTTCACTTTTGCTGTCTTCCCATAGCAATTATGTCATCACTGGTATGACGTCTGAATCCCATAACGTATCTCAGCCAACTCAAACTTTGCTCCATCAATTCTTGAACATGTAATAGACTTGATAGATTCTTCCTCAACTAGCGTTTCGAATTGCTTACACATGAGAATTTTGTCTAATAAAGAACACACCCCCGTTGTTTTCTGCTGAATTGACCAATCAAATTCAGGGTATACCTCTTGTCACAGCCAGCTCGACTCCGCAATCGTTCTATGCCGCAGTCGCAATTCAGAAGTGCGATTAGCTTGTTCGCATCAACAGCCAAAAAGAAAATATTTACTTGCTAGTTTGCTATATGAATCTATGCTAAGAAAATCTGGGCCGCCTTCTACAATGGCTACACTATAATAATTTCATAGTGTATTGATAATATTATTTATATGATATATATGAATTATGTATTGCCTTCTAGTTTACGAGGTAAGTTTGAATAAACATAATCTAACCATGTCTCTAATTTATATCTAAAATTGTTTCATTTCAGATATAAGGTAGATATGATGTGAACGCGGTCTCTAAATAATATGAGAGATGGAATCACCTAATCTTTCTATCCCTCTTCTTTCTTGTAATTAGACAAAACTAAAGGACAACAAAAGTGGGGACCACTTTGAAAATTCATATATATGATAAATTTGAGTGTAGAACAAAATCGGTAAAAAGCCTATGGAGTAAGAAGCTGATGAAGAGGAATTCGGAGTACAATTGTACAAAGGATCTATCTCAGCTCAGGACATCCAAATGCAAACAACGGGTACCTTACCCGAAAGCAACGCGCCTTTCCTACCTAACTGAAACTCGAATTATCTGCAATTTGCCTATTTGCTATTTCTATTGATGGCGCGAGCAAATATCTTCTACTCCAAACGTTTTCCTCCTTTAGAAAAAACTTTGCATTAGCCTGTGGTATAGAGATCAATAGCTACTGTACCAAATGCCAACAAGCAGTCGATATGTCCGAGTGGTTAAGGAGACAGACTTGAAATCTGTTGGGCTTCGCCCGCGCAGGTTCGAACCCTGCTGTCGACGTTTTCGTATGTCAATTCAGCACTTTTTTTTTCTGGTCACAGTTTACTATAATGTTCCAACCAATATAACAGAAGATCAAACAGCAAGGGGTGGTGGCGCAGTTGGTTAGCGCGTAGGTCTCATAGCAAAAGAGTGATCCTGAGGTCGAGAGTTCGACCCTCTCTCACCCCAATATGTGTTTTTGGCTTTTTGCATTTTCGTCTGTCCATATCATTTTAGCTCTATTAGCTTATTGCAATACTTCAATCTGAGTGTTGGAGACAAATCTCGTGTGTTATATCATTTATCAAAATTAACTCTCAAATTATACAAATCTTTCACGTTTGCCACCCGAATTACTTTTTTTTCTTATTCGCCACTAACTTTATGAATCGTTTCACCGTTAGTCACGAACCGTTACACTCCGTTAACTTTGTCCTACGTGGCAGTCAACTATAAAGTTTGACCGTTAACTAGATGACGTTAAAATTAAAAAAATAAAAATTTATTTATTTTCCACCTCATCATTTCCGATTTATCATACTAATTATTTAATAAAAATTAATTAAAAATTAATATGATAAATAATTAATTTTTATTTATTTATCATGACCCTCACCACCATCATCACACTCCCGGTACTCCTCTTCCTCCTAAACCTCCTCTCCCCCGTCGCCGGCAACGAGGAAAACTCCACCATGTGCTTTTGAGTTTCTCGATGTCGTGCTTACTGTCTGGGTTTATGAAAACGGCCTTCACCTTGCTTCCTCAAACTAACCCCTGTTGACGAAGGAATTCTACCTCCCCTGCTTGCTTGCTTTGGCGACGAAGGAACTCTACCTCATCAGCGGACAGTTGATAGCTTCTAAGTTCTAACGATCTCACGATGCCCACTTCCTGCCACGTAGAGTCGCCGACAAAGGGAACGCCGCCTACACCCGCTCCAGCTGCAACGCCACGCCAGACGTCTGCTACACCTACCTCTCCCGCTACTCCAGCACCGACCTCCGCACCGCCTCCGCCCTCCACGACTGCCTCTCCAACCTCGACGACACCGCGGAGGAGATTTGCGGCTCCCTGAAGCATATGCGGCAACTGGGCGAGACGGGAGCGTCGGGGGAGACGTTCCGCTTCCAGATGAGCAACGTGAAGACGTGGATGAGTGTCGCGCTGACGAACGAGGAGACCTGCACGAACGGCTTCCGGGGCGTCGGGGGAGGCCAAGGCAGTGTACGCCCGTTCCGCGGAGGCGAAGAAGTACACCAGCAATGCGCTTGCGTTGGCTAATCGGAGGCCGAGGACATGTAATTTATTGATTTTTTATTAAATAATTAATATGATAAAATATATATATAAAGTAAGTGGGATGATGAGGTGGAAAGTATTTTTTTTAATTTTCACGTCATCTAGTTAACAGTCAAACTTTATAGTTGACTGCCATGTAGGACAAAGTTAACAGAATGTAACGGCCGGTGACTAACGGTGAAATAATTCATAAAGTTAGTGGAGAATAAGAAAGAAAAGTAATTCGGGTGACAAACGTGAAAGATTTGTATAATTTGAGTGGCCAAAGGTGTAATTTAGCCAATACTTCAATTGAGCGTTGGAGACAAATCTCGTGTGTTATATCATTTATCAAAATTAACTCTCAATAATTACTAGCACCGGACCCGACCTGTTGGCCGGGAAAGTTTGATGATTAATATTCCGTATTTATTGTTGATGAATATAGTGTGGGGGCTTTTCAAGATCTTCAAACCTAATTTATACTGTTGTGCGAATCTATGCACACAATCATTGCGCAAGATAAATTAAAGTAAGGTACACACCACAGAAGACATAGGATTAACTGTACTAAGCATGGGCAGAAATAGTACTTTGCCTAAGTCGATCCCTTTTAGCAGCAATTTGTTGATTTGTTCGACCTTTGGGAGACGTGAAAATAGCCCACATACCCTATACAGGGCTGAAAATTTGTATGTCCCGTCCCTGTCCCGTTCCTATCCCTGTCTGACCCGTCCCTAAAGAGTCAAGATGTATAACCGTCCCGTCCCGTCCCTATCTCCTTCTTGACCCTGTCTGACCCTCAAGGGTTGGGACGGGACGGGACATGCCGGGTCAGTGGGTCGACCCTAATTAACACACTACTTTTTTACAAATTACCTTTTGGTACCCAAAATTATTTTTTCTTACAATTTAGTACCTAAATTTTATTTTTTTACAAATAAGTCCATAAATTTTGATGGTAAAATTACGTTTTGGTACCCAAATTTTTTTATTTTTACAAATTAGTACCTAAACTTTTAAAACTTTACAAAAAAG